TTTCTATAATGAAATATATTAGTTTTCGCTGTATTATTACCCATGTAAGGCCACCAAATGATGGAGATTGATTAAGAACATTTCTCCCTGTGAATCAAAATAGGTCTAGAAAATAAAAAGGTGAAAATACTTGCACCAGTAGGGCACAGATTGTTTCAAATTCAAACATTACGCATGCTGCATAGGTTTTATCTCTGTAAGCTGATAAGGAAATATTTAAAGAGTACAGAGAAATTAGAACTTTCAGCTCAGAGAGAAATTTCAGTACATATCAAACTTCAAATATGAGAAGTATGTGCTAATCATTCCTGTAATTACACGTAAACAGACTACAAAGCTTTATTTTTTTTGGAGCTAGACAACTTCTGGGTTCAAGATGTATTCTACAGTAATGGTACCAGCAACATGTCCAGAACTCCATCACCACAGTACTTCTGTGTATCAGGGAAAACAAGATATTTTCCAACTTGACCATAAAGCTGTCTATAAAACAGTGTGATAAGCTAGATGCACTCTCTTGCTAAAAAAAGTTGTAAAGTAGGCTTTAAGCAAAATATGTGTCAACTTAAAGAATGGGAAAATTTCAGCAAGTTCTCATAACTTTTTCAGTCTATAAATTAAATTTAGTTATAAGCTCTGTGTTCACATTCTTTTCTGGAATCTGGACAGATGATTTCAGAGCACTTGAGATGTTGGTACAGCAGAGATGCTTTTGTATTGTGACCCATATAATGCAACCACATGATGAAGGTGTATAAATAGGTGCTTCTTCTTGTGAATCAAAATGGGTGAACAAAAGAACAAGATTTCAGAAATTAAGTTAAGGGAATTTTACTAAGCAGAAGTAATTACTCAGTTCCATCAGTTCTACTTCTTTCTTTCCAGCAGCTTCCTTTCTGTCACCTTCCATGAGAAACTCATGGCTGTCGTTTTTCTGCATCCTTATGAATTTTCCTTTCTAACTACTCCTCTTAGCACTTTTTCTCAAAGGCTGCTCTCATACATAGTGTAATCCTCAAGGCACTATGTTGAATCCATCCAGCACTGACCCTGCTGAAAGGTGGGCAATGGTTTCAAGTAGAGCAGGATACCTCATGTGCTTCATTGAGTCCTTTGCAGAGGTACAGACCTATTGAGTGAATATGTTATGCATATTCTTTGATTCAAAACAGAAGGGGCCTCAAAGCCGTTCAAACTACATGTCAAATCTCTGACCAAAATTAACAGGTGCACTCGCATGGCTTCTCTTCTGAGTCCTAAATTCTGCATCTTAGTTTCTCCATTCAGGAGTGGTTTTAGCTGACTCAATGGGATTTAGGGCAGTCAGCTGCAGAAACAACTGCAGAACTCATGTGCAGACTATAACAAGTGTAAACATGAGAAAAAAAAGTTTTCTGTGCCTCCATCCTGTGATAAAAACAACCCACATCTTACTGTTAATTTTCGAGAATCAGATAATCTTGAAGGGAACAAATGTAGCACGTAAGGATAACAAACAAAAAGGTAGATACTTAGGAGAAGATCTGCCAGTTGCAGAAGCTTGGACAAATCACAATGGAGACATGTCTCCTGACGTTAAATGGATACAATTTATTCCTTTAAAAATAAAAATATACTCTAAGACATTTGGAAAATGTTGCAGAATGTTGTAGCTAAGGCAATAATCAAGCATAATGAGTTTAAATACTAATTTGCAGTGGGTTTTGTGTACTTTTCCTTCCTTATACACAACTGCAGCAAGTTGCACTCTGAGCAATTACCCACAAGGAAACGCTCAGTGTTGGTTTATCTGTTTTCTTAGGCAGATTGACTAAGTAAGTAAGTAAGTAAGTAAGTAACTATTAACTAACTAACTAACTATTATTAACTAACTAACTAACTAAGATAAATAGTGGCCTCATTCATATTTCTCTAAGGATAGTCAAATTAATTTTTAAATTGCAGTGATTAATTTTTTTTCAATTCTGTAAACCATACTGGCAGTTTAATCTACAGTTTTATCCACATGTTTTAGCAGAATTATGTGACAAACCCTTGACCTTTTAAGGCAATGCTTAAAAAAATCCAGAGTGGTAGGGTTTCCTCCACAGCCTTAATATTCTTTGTTGTGGAGGCTCTTAAAAACTCTGAGGAATTTTCTCCCTGACTGAAGCAGACTGACAGCATGTGCCCACTTTTTATTCACTGAATAAAACTGAAGCCCCTGGTGTTTGTTGTTCAGGAGTTGTGCAGAGGTGTGTAGAGCCTCTGGCTGGCTTTGTGTGTTGGCCACCTGTACCTCTATGATCTCACTGCGCTGAGTGTGGTTCTCATAAGCAACATTAAAATTGTGGCCTCACATGGAAAGCTGTGAGCAAAATGACTTTGTTTCTCTTCTTTTTTCTAAGACCTTGGGTGTTTATTGTAAAACAATGTAGTTGTTATTGCTTTCTGAACACAGAAGGCACATGCACCTCATTGATTCTTAGCTGAGGTAAATATGATCTGTCATGGAAAGTTGCTGCAATGGGACATACCACAGGAATTTACTATTCTGCCATGTATTTGCAGGCCCAGACAGGAATTTCTTAAAGCCTGTCTTCACTGGAAAATAGTAGCATGTCAATAGTGAGACTTTCTTGAAAAAGACATTTGTATCTACAGAAGTTTTATCATGAAAAGTTTTTCAGGACTACATGAAAATTTCTAATCCACAGCAAGGCCAACATCAAACTAACATCCCTTAGTATTCATGCAGGCATGGTGGATGATTAAAATCCTTCTCCCACACTTAATTAATTAAGACTGTTGTGTCAAAGCTAAGTCCTTCAGCCTCTAACATTTAATGTAGTTTCATGCCCAGTGAATACTTATTTTCAAAAACCAGTAAAACAGGTTTCATGGGGAAGGATAACAACCAAAGCAAAAGGGGTGAATTAATACTTCTAAGAAAGCACGATTCAAACTCATGTTTTAAATCAGGCGATACAAGGTTTTCTATAGCGCAGGCACATTCCCCTAACACAAGTGTAAAAACCACTAGGTGTGGAGGTTTTCTCCTCTCAAAGAACAACGCAAAGCCTAACTTTTGCCCTGTTACAGACCAAAAGCTCTAAAGGTCAGATCTCAGAGAGCTTTGTTGAATGGAAAAATTATTTTCATTTGCTTAGTCTTCTTTATTTTCAGCACCTGAATCACATCAGCAAATTATGCAACTAGGGAAAGCTTCTGTTCACCAGGACACAGTAATGAACAGGAAGAATTCGTGCTATGAGGGGTGGCGTCTTCCTGACATGACTTTGATTCTCGAAATGACAGTTAAGAAAAAAAACACAGATCAGTTTTTTTATGTTCCAAGAAACCCATCAACAATGAATAACTGTTAAACTGAAAAGGAGTTTGTTCAGGATTCACTCTAGAACAACTTGCCTGTCCACCAGAACCGTTCTGTGTAGGCTTCTGGCCACAATGAAATGGGCTGCATTAATTAAAGCCAAACAGAATATCAAGGTCTACATGCTAGCTCTCTGAGTGAAGACTGAAGTTCAGGGACACTATGGACAGCTTCTCACGGGTGTGGTTTCTAAATTTTTCACTCTTGACCTGCCCCTATGACTGTGAGATAGAAAAGACCATGTCTGATCCTTAATTTCTACTTAGTTGTGTGTGAGTTTTGCAATATAATTGAAAACCACCTGGGCCACCATGCTGGGCAGCTCCATCCTTAGCTCATGTTCCCATGACTGTCAGGGTGGTGGCTTACCCCTGCTTAGTGACAACTGGACACCCTCCTTCTAACAAAAATTCTGATATTCTTACAGCCCTGCCCACAGTGCTAATTTAAAATGTACAGGCTAAATATTTCTTATGCTCAGTTTTAAAAAGATAATGAAAAAAATGCTTTGTGTCTATAACTGAATGGGAACGAGAAAAAAAGTCTGAATAAACAATGAGCAGAACAATAAATAAAGATTCCTCAATTAGTTACTTAAAGTAAATTTAAAAATATATTTAAAATAAATTGTCATTTTCTGTATTTCCAGCCTTTGTCAGGATTTCTCAATGTTTTAATTAGCAAAGGTCTTACTCTTACATAACCAAAACATTTACTTGTGTAGTTGGCTGAAAATGCTGTCTTTTTGTATTGAGATTGTATATGAGTCTATTTGTCTTAAAGATATAGACAAATTTGCCTGATTTGAGGACCTTGGCCTGATCTTGTATTTGTCAGAACATTTCCTTAACTGTAAGGTAATAGACAAAAGCCAGAACACAGCAGCTGAAAAGAAAGCAAATTTTTTTTATTACTGATACACTCCTAATCTTTGAGTAGAATTAATAGTAACACAACATATAGCTGCATGCAGAAACCGTGTTTTTAATGAGTTCTTTTTCTCTTAAGAGAAGTCAGCTCAGAGCTTTTTCATGCTGCCATAGCCCCTCTGAACCTCTCCTGCCTCAGGAAGACCTGCATTATGTGTACTCAGAAGTGCTGAAACACAAGCCATGCTGTATTCTAGACACAGAAGGTACAAGGACAAATTATGTTTCAACTAAATTACATGAATGTACATGATGTACCACACATGCACAATGTGGAGTTAGAGCTCCACTCCACTGTCAGCAACTTCAGAGCTCCTGATCACACCACTGGGAATCCCCCTTTCCCACTAACTACACTTAAAATTGAAGCATCTAAGTTTGATCTGTTTAATTACATCAGGACTTAAATGCCTGTTGAGAAAATACTCCCTGACACAAGTTATAGCTGCATCTGAGTAGTTTTAAGAAACAGGTGAACCCAATATAGTAAACATTCTTCCTGAACTTTACCACTGAAGGATAGAGAATATAATTTTAATTTCTGTACAGAAGAGACAGAAGCCCAAGTTACAGCTTTAAAGGGTTTTCTGATGCATGAGTTATTTCTGAACAGAAGAGGAGATTCCATCTGAAATTAACCTGGTTCTAAATGCATCAAAAATCTAATACCTAAGGAAGTAAAATCAAAGTGGACTTACTGAATTTTTGGTGGATCTTCAGGAACTTTTCCAGGTTCACAGAGGGGGGTCTGCTGGGCTTTTTTGGGGGCTGGCCCAGATTGGCCACTGGCGGCAAGATTTTCCGCTTGGGCATTCTAGAACTCCTGTTCTCATCCTCTTGTGATTCACCTGATGGTCTTCCTGCAGCAAGCGCCGTATTCATCTTACGGAATTTATGAGAAGAACCTGATTCTTCCTCGGTGATTTTCTTGAGGAAGATGTTCTTGGCAGCACTCATTCCCTTTTCTTCAGTGTTTTCTGCCACAGTTTTGGGAGTTCCTTTTGATAAGCTGGACCTGAGGCCAGTAGGCTTCAGAGCTATTTTAGGAAAAGTACTGCCTGGAGCTTCTGCAGCAGAGTTATTATTTTCACCTATTTCTTTTGCTTCTTGGCCTGCATGTATATTTGTTCTAGGTCCAGACTGTCTTTGCAGAGAATCACTTTTATTAGAGGCGTCTTCCTTCTGAGATACCTCTTTGTTTAGAGAAGGTTTCTGTGCAAGAAGTGGCTTAGAAACAGGAGGCTTGGGCTCATTTTCTTGTGTTGCAGACCTTAATTTTTCCTTAACTGCAGCTACTTTTGAGAATTCCAGTTTTGCCTCATTCTCCTGTGATGGAAAATTTAAATTAGGTTTTGATCCTAGAGGATTTTTTTCTTTATCAGGAGGAGCAAGGAACTTGTTCCATGCAGGTTTTGGGTTCAAAGGCTTTGGGTCCTCTTTTGACGGGTCACTGGTTTTGATAGAGAGTTTAGTGCATCCAGCTTTTTCATCATTTCCTCTGTTAGTGGGCTGAAGCTGAACACCAAACCTTTGTGCCACTTGGTTTAAATGTGGTGGGTTTGGATCTTTCTCTGGTTTATCATCACTTGAAGGCTTGACTGCCAGAGGAGGCTTAGGCTGAGCAGGTTTGTGAACACCACTGGGTCCTGGACAAAACGCAGTATATCCTTTATTTGTAAATTTCTCAAGTACTGCTTTCCTTGTCTGTAATCCTTTGGGGATGTCTTGTCTCGGGATTTTGAGGGGTCGACTGTTTGAAGGATCCTCTATGCCTCTGCTACATCTCTCAAATTTCTCCATGAGTAACTTCACCCGTGGCTTCGGATTCTACAAAAAGAAGAGAAAAACAAGGGCAGAAATGGGAAAGTACTGTTGCAATGTTCACAAATACTGTACTTTAAAGAGTTTCCTGGTCTGAGGCTTTACTACTGCTGATTGGCTGAGGAGGTGCTGTAGCTCATCTTCCTGTAGAGTTAAGAGAAGCTGAGCGTTTTGTTGTATGCTTGCAGCATTTATACGATATTTTGAAATTTTCATTCAGGTGTTGCCTTTCAGGTACTGCAGGTCCTTTTGAGCATATTATAATTTCTGTTTACTTTTGGAATTGTGAACTGAACACAGAATAAATGTAAGAAATTACATATGACTTTTAAATCAACCTACCTAAAAATTTTATTTTCCTGTGATAAGGAGTTCTTGTACTGGAACTTGGGGGAATTTACCAGATTCATGTTATTCCTGCTAACTTTTTGGAGAACTGCAAGTTCCTTTGTGAAAACAAATTCTTCTGGTTGATGTATGTGTGTGTCAATTTTTCTTTCCTTTCTCAGCAATTTTTTTACTTTCTGCTCCCCACACTCTCACTTTGTCCTTATTTCTCTTCTCCATTTTGAATATCTGAATAAAACTGTGCATGTGTGGGTAGTAAATGAAAATATGTGAAGTAAAATTAAAATAAATGACAATCAATATACGCAGATATTGTCAAAGTTACTAAATTTTTTATTAAAAAAAGGAATTTAACTAATTACAAGTGAATAAAATCCAGCTTCATTCAAAAATAGATGTTTTAATTTGTCACCCCAATTCAATAAGTTTCAGGACCCATCTTAACTATGAGCAGAACCCAAGAGTTCAATACATTTGAATTCAGGAAAAATAAAACACATCACAGTGCAGGATGGGAGCAAAAGGCAGTGAGCTGGTCCCACTGCACTGGGCAGGGGCCACCTTTGGGTTCCAGGAGCCTTCTTCCCAGCTTACAGTGGCAGCAAGCGTGCAGCTATGGCAGATACATTGATACATACAATTCACAAGCAGGACCTGGATTTCCTGTGTGAGTTAAAATGTAAAGTTTATGGCACAAAACTAGGTAGGGTTCTGAATCATCTGTCTGTAAACAAAGGACTATTGCTACAAAACATAATAAATAAGTGTTGAAAAAAAATAGAGGTTTAAGAATGAACTGTGTCTTAACTTACTATGGTTTGGCAAGTGCTCAGTGTTTTTTTTTTTTACTTCAATAATAAAAGCTTCTTAATTGGGCTTTTGCTCCTTTTGCCTTCCGTTTGATTGTATCTCATTACATAAATAGCCTGTTAAATTGGAGTAGTTATATATATATTGAGAGAGAGAGACTTCTGCAACTTAAAGGTAACTATCCCAGTCTTTCAGCATTGCCAAGAAGTTAAATCTTTCCAAACTGATTGTGTTGAGCCACAACTTACTAAATGCAGCCAAAACAAGATAGGCATAATGAAACTTATACCCAGCAACCACATTGTTGGGTATTTTTGTACCTATAAAGAAGGGAGGAAGTACACATTTACTATGGAGATTATCAGGGTTAAGCCATATACTGCTGTTTGATGCATACACACACACACACACACACACACACAATATCATTGCAGAGGTATGTATATGCATCACTAATCATTCAAGATTTATCCCACAAGACCTCACAAGGCCCTGATTTTACCCAGGTTAGACGATTCAGTGCCAGAGAGAATAAAAAAGCCTTTTGTCTCTGATTTCTTTTGACTTTGTACTAATTAATGATTTTTTTTTCCTAAGTCTGTAAGAAAATCTAGACCACCAGAGATACTGTCATTACAGCTTATGTCTGAAGTCTTCAGACCTTCTAAGTTAGGATTTGATCAGCTGCTTGGCCAGCTCAGCTACTCATTTCTTTTGAAAGTCATAGCAATAAACTAATTTCTTTTCCACTTCTTCTATTTGAAATATAGGAAAATTGCAATAGCAAGATTACATTAATTACATGAATTACATTCATACATGCTTTCAAATGCACTGAACCATTCATTCCTGCCATGCTAGGAGTGTCAGTGAATTTTTAAAAATAAATTTCTTCCCAACACTGTGAACAAACCTTGCCCTAGTCATGCATATTTACAGGCCCAGCAAGAGGAAAAGGTTCCTGGACATGGGGAAGAGTTTACAATTAACAATAAAGCCTCTTTCATTTACATGGTAAAGAGAATAGTAAGAATCAAAACAGAGTGAGAAACTTGGTGAAATCTTTCTGCTTCTTTTTAATGTATGTCACCAGCTTCTGCCATCAAAAGCTGTGTTACAAGCCATGCAGATTTTAATGCTGAGCCTGACTGGTCAGGCAGACAGAGGGGAACTGGGGAAAAAAGAAAATTTTTTGTTTGTGGCCCTGATCATAGAGTAATCACCACAATTTCTGTGCTTTCATTCCCAGCAGTGACAAAAGTTACCTACAACATTATCACATACAGTAGGTTGTAAATCATGAAATGGGAACTTGAAAAGATTCTGAAGAGAGATTAAGTTTCCCCTACCCTTCCCCTCTAAAGTGCAGAGTCTGTGCAAAAGAGGACTCTCATGCAAAAGCTACTTGGATTATTTTCTGCGCTTTGATCTCTATTGGAAACTCCGTGCAAAATATTCTGGCTTTTCAACTTTTGATCTGAACAGCAAGCAACATAAGGAGCTCAGTAAGATTTCCTTTATTACAAGATGGTTGTATTATTCAGATGTGTTTGCTCAAATCTAGAACAATACCTACGTGTTAGCTCTCATGCCATAGATACATTTTTATACACAGAGCTTTCAGAATCTCCCACTGCCTTCAGCAGAGACTCACAGAGGTATCAAGTTAAACTTGTACAGAATTGTTACACTACACCTTAGTTACACCTCAGTGTTAACGAATGCAATTCTCCCCAATTTACAACATGGCTGTGCATTTCTGTACAGAAGTACACTGTAATGAGAACACAAAAGTACATTAAAAAATTCAGTTGTATTCTTCCTGAGTTTAGTATGGGTATTTCAGTCTCAACTGCAAGCCTGAAAAAAAAAAGTTGGCTTTTTTTTTTTTGCTTTGGCATAAATATAACTTTATTATTTACTTTCTGTCTTGGTGAAGCCAAAATATTATTTCAGTTCAACTTCCCCTTGAGGCCAAGCTTTCTTTAAACAGCAACACTGGATCAGTGAACAGAATAGCAGATGTGTGTGCATACAATCATTAATTAGGCAAATGAAAAATATTTAACTTCTGACTGTACAAAGAATTCATTCAAAATACAAGCAGATTTGATTTATAAAGGATAAAACTCCCATCTTTTCCCAACTGTAACTTTTATATTTCTATTCCAAATTGATGGGGTCAAAATATACTCTTTAAAACTTAAAATTAGATCTTAGTGAGTTTGTTAGAGAGTAATAAAGATTATATAACTATCCCTTTAAGAAGAAAACTATGCTTAATTATGAATTCTTTGATAGTGAAATAACCAGAGAAGTTAATAACCACTAAGGGAATTGAGCTCCAACCTATGTGCAGGATATAAGGAATAAGAAAATGGACAAAAATGGCAAGGAAAATTACACAGAGAACTATAGAAAAATACAGATGTGAAAATTATTTTGCAACTTCATATAAGTCTGATACAACTTCTACTGAAGTTGGTCAATTTGAGGCAGTCTAGCTTTTTGTTTATGTGGCAGTGCCACACTGAAATTGTGATAAATTATTGCTTGACTACTTTCTTTTCCAGACACCTCAGAATTATCATTATGCAAATTTGTTGTTTCCAGAAGACATTTCCAAACTGCTTTTCTTCCCCTCGAGTCTAGCTGTAATTACTAGTTCAAGAGTCCCTTTAAGATTAAGTGCAGCATTTGGAAAGTGAAGTTGAGAAGTTGCGATGCTCTGCACCTATAAATGTGTGCAGCAGAAGCATGAAAAGAAGACAAAGAGACACAGTTTGTTCATAAAAGACTTGCTGATACAATGGTTGGTATGAAAGAGAAATGAGCCCTCATCAGTAAATACTTAAGGGTGAGGAGACAGGCTATTCTTCTGTCTGGGGTGTCCTCTAGGATGGAGAGGATGGAGAGAAATCTAAGGGATTCCCCAGTGAGAGGCTGACAGCCTCGAGTTACCCTAAGAGCATCATTTCAAATATCCCTCTAACACTAGCAAGAAATAAACAGCACACACATGAGGATATATGGTTGTCAAAATTAGACAAGGCAATATTCCAGCCTGGTCACTGTGTAGTCTGTATCTTTTCAATTGAGCATTCCTCTAAACCCCTCTTATCTCTCTTTTGCCACTTTTTCTCCCTTCTAACGAATCATAAAACTGTCTATTCATACTGCAGAAAAATAAAAGGCAAGTTCCAGATGAGTTTGAGGCCAGGATGAGTGAGGGCATAGGGCTTGACCAGAACAGCCAGATTACATCCCATCTTGTTCCCAAACTGCTTCCGTCAAAGACAATGCATGAAATCAAAGTATCAATGATCATCTCTTCATTCTAGGTCCTAACAGGCTCACGACAAAGTTGCTCTCTACATGGCTTTTTTTTTGGTACCTGTTTAAGTGAAAATAAGAACTATCAACCACTGGCAACTTGGTTTTCAACAACAGAAGCCTGGTGGCTTCAATTTTCCATCAAGAATTTGTATCTGATATAAATAGAATACTTTCTATCCATTTCTGTAAAATGATTGCATTTTTGTAACATGGTTTTTACATAAACACAAAATTTCATGATACTCAATAATTTTCTTTTAAAAATTATTTTTATCGTGTGCCTTCTAATACCCTTTATCAATTATTTATTTCGGATAATGTAAATTTTCTCATGATCTGCCCAGAAATGAAACAGATTCCTTTTCTCTCAGAACCCTATATATGTAGAGTGTATACAGTAACTGTCTTATGAATGTCTTACTTGTCTGGTTATCCCACTAAAGTGAATTCTCCAAATCTCAAGAAAGAAAAATTTGAATCCCTGTCACTGTGAAGTTCCTACCATTATTTTGAGAATTTCAGGATCCCATATGATTTTAAAGGAAGTTTTGTTTAATTTAAAGACATTGAGTAGCATTTTGACTCATACCTGGAAAGGAAAATACTTTCCATGATGAACTACTAATAAAATGCATACACTGACATCTCAATCCAGAGTACAGTACATTATTTTATACCGACCCATAATTTAAAAAACAAAGCAAAGGGAATAACTAAAATTAATTGCCTTTGAGTGATACCACTTCTGCTACTATTCAAAATGCAAAGGCCACTTAAATTAGGACTACTTTTAGTAAAAGTAAATTTTACTTTTGGTAAAATTTTGGAGAACTAACCACAAAACTCTGAGAGAAAAACTCCATTTTGTCAACTTAGTATCTTTTCAACTCCTAAATACAGTAAAATCTACAACTAGTTAATTAAGCTATATTCAACACCTTGTACTGATTCTATTTCTTCTGGAACTTTCCATGGCTATTTTTAAGATGAACATGTGCAACAGTTTACCTGGATATCCCAAAGCTCTCCAGTATTTTGAAACAAGCAGTAAAACTGGCTCCCTCAATGCGACAATCCTCGGGTGTAACAACTTAACAGCCTGGTCTATTTGCTAAAGAGGAATTCTGCTTCTCACAGAGGAGTTCTTGCTTCTCACAAGATACACTTGTGGGTTTCATTATCATGAACAGTAACTGCTCTCCACAGGATATTAGGCAAGAAGTGCTGGAGGAAAAGGGAACTAAAGTGTGTTCAGACTGGTTGGCTGCTTCCATCAGCAGTAAGCACCATGTGATATCCAAAAGTATTGCATTTACCCCCTATTGCGTAGCCCTGTGAGGCGTCCTCGGTGCACACAAGCCTGAGCCTTTACAGAATAGCTGCTAAACAAATGTGTGAGGCAATTACAGGCACATAGGGTGGACTGGCCAGGTCCAGTGCCCTGCTACCACTGAGAACCACACATGCATGTCAGATAGCATGTTCCTTTGCTGCCTCACATTCACCAGTGGGATCTTGACATTCTGCTGGCCAGTTTTTAAAAAGTTCTGTTATGTGGAGATATTAAAAATAAAACAAAACAAAACTGTGATCATACATTTCTTCTGTCCTTCCTCCTGTGTGTTTGAGTTTGAAGGATGATATAGGATAGAAAAGTCAATACTGAGTAAATAAGCTTCACAAGAAATTCTAAATGTGTGCTTGTGCTGAAGGTAAATCAAAACCACAAAGACTGAACCCCTTACAAAATACAGCTCAGTGAATTTGCTGGAGCAGTGCATGGGGAGGAAATTGCAGAAGAAAAGCTGTCTGTCTTTGAGTTTAATTAGAAGTTAACTGAATCTTCCTCATGGTCTACTACTCTCCTTCTGCACAAGCTTCTTAGTATTTTTTGAAATATTTTGAAGTGTTAAAGTAAAGCATTGAAAGTGCTTGATATTTCTAGCTTAATTTTACAAAAACTTGTAGCTTAGCTACTTCAGAAGTTTATTAGGGTGTTGGATGGAGCTTATTTGAGTTAGAAACATTGCTGCATGCCAATGACTACTGATGCTTTTCTAATATAACATAATAGTTTTTTGTAGTGGGAGAAATGTCGTTCTTTATGCTATTCATTCAGCTAAACACTGCATTTTATTTATAAAATAGTATTTATTTGTGAATATAAACAATTATCACAGATGATAATGCATTTATTATTAAAACTAAGGGTAAATATTAGAATTTGTGACTTGCTGATGTATCTGGCAGCCTTCATGACTGTTTTAAGATGGTAACTGTAGCAATAAAGTCATTTTATGTGGGTAAACGCCACTGCAAGGGTTTGCTCACAGTATCAGCTCTAGACAAATCATGCAATGATCAAAGAACTAGCTTATCTTCACAGCTCTGAATGCTACACAGTTCCTGTTGTCTTCTCTTTCATCCAATACACAAAAATAAATATATCCCTAACTGACAGAATGCTCATGAGAATGTAAATTGCAACAAAATAATGAAAATAAGTTTAAGCTGTAAATTTCTGTGAAACTTGCCTATCTGCAATATCCACCATGTGCCTCATTTTACATTTGCAGGTGCAACAGCTTCCCGAAATCTCTGGGTTTTTTCCCACTTATTTCAGTGAAGGTTATTTGTGAGTGATATAGGGAAATTAGCTATTTTTAGGTGAAGAAAGAATCTGAATAAATTAGTATTTTAAGTAACAGGACCTGAAAGCAGTGTAAAGTTATTTTGCCTTTTTCACTTTTCACAAAAACAACAGCAACAGCAACAACAACAAAATCACTAGTTCATATTCAAGGAAAACAAGGATGCTAATAATGATAATGCTTTCTCATGTATACACATGCCATCACATTCTCTGTATAGATCAAGCCTAGCATCTAAATTCCAGCACACCAGTGGTGTCTTACTGCTCTTATGTGGAAATGTTATGACTGCAACTTTATTTTTTTTAATCAGAGCATTTATTTGGATGTTTCCATGTAACTTTGGGAAAAGTGGCTACATAGGAATTAAGTTTGTCAAAAATTAAGGAAAAAAGAAAGGGAAGAAAAAGTATCGGAACCTTGGCCATTCAGGAAGAGTGTGGCCAGCAATCCTCCCCCTCTACTTGGCTCTGCTGAGGCCACATCTGGAGTGCTGCATCCATTTCTGGGCTATTCAGTACACGAAAGAAAACAAAATACTGGAGAGGCTTCAGCAAAGATCAGAAAGATGATTTAGGATGTGGAGCATCGCACTTGTGAGAAGAGACTGTGGGAGCTGGGTATGCTCAGTCTGGAGAAGAAAAGACTAAGAGGGGATCTTTTTAATGAATAAAAATATCTCAGAGGTGGGTGCCCAGAAGATGGAGTTAGGTTTTTTTCAGTGGTACCTAGAGACAGGACAAGAAGCAGTGTCCATAAACTAAAACACAAGAAGTTTCACCTCAATGTGAGTAGGATCTTCTTTCAGTTGAGGGTGGCAGCTCACCGGAACACCTACCCAGGGCAATCATAGAGTCTTTCTCTCTGGAGATACTCAAAACCCACCTGGACATGTTCCTGTGTAACCTCATCAGGAGGGCTGGACTGGAATCTACAGAGTTCCCTTCCAGCCCTAATGATTCTGTGAGACTCTGCTGTAAATGTTAGTTCATCTTTTTAAGACATTTTTCTTTAATCTACAGATGTTCTTTGCTCCAAAATGGTTTGAAAAGTCAGGCACTTCCATCTGAATGCCTCCTGCTTTCCAATTCAATGGTCACAAAGAATATCATAGTTAGGATTTTGTTACCTCCACAGCTGTGTCAATATGACTGTTTAAGTTGCTGTAAACTGAAGGAACACGATACAAAAAAATTTCTTTATCTTTTGACATTGTTTTTAACCTGCTTCATTTCACTAACTGTAAGTGTATTATATGATTCCAAATAATGAGAGACTGTGTAACAGAGTTAATTGTGGGGGCAGGTGGGAGAAGAAAAAGGCAAAGATGACTGGTTGGGGCAGCTAATATTTAAACCTGTGTATATAGTGGGAGCAGGACGGGAGGACACTATTTGGAAGAACACCTTTGGACAGCTGCATTAATATCATTAAAGCAGTTTGAAAAACTCTTTCCTAAGTCAGAATAGTGTTGCTCTGTAATATACAACACATGCAAATATGTGGAGCACAGAGCAAGAGAAAGTCAACATTAGCAGGGTTTTTCACTGAAACTTTGCTTCCTGCCTTCTCCTCCTCTTGCTCACAGGGCTTTTGCCTCCTAGTTGTTACTGAACAGGTTATATTTCTGTAAAAAGAAGTCTATGCAGCAGTCAGGGAAGAAGTTGGAAAATTCTTTTAACTTTAGCACATTAGAGTATGGTCCCCGTATTCATGGTTAATGCTTAGTTTTGTACCATACAGTGCTTAGTGCAAATACCAGAGATTAATTTTGCTTTGTGTTAACTCCCTACATCTGTGACTAATAAGTCTTGTGCCAGCTAATGCTTCCTTGTTTACTTCTATCAGTGATTACTATGTACTAGCTGATATCTTAGTTTTGAGAACAAGGATTGTGTGTCAGAGCTAAGAATGATAAGAGAAGTACATTATGACCTGACAGTCTCAAGGAGAAAACTTTCATCACAAGATCCACAACTATATCAAAACATTGAATTGAAATAATTAGTATATATACATGTATTCAGGAAATGTGATGAATGTGTACTAGTTTCACGAATATAATCTGGTCTGTTAGGTTATTGAATACATACATTTTAAGGAATTCCCCATGCACCCAGTGTTACTAATAAAGTAATATTGTTTTTCTTAACTAACAAGTTTGTTGGAGATTTTATTTCCCAGCTTTTGATGACATGGGGACAGACTTGGCACAGGAGAAGAAATAACATATTTATCAATCATCTTTGTACGTACTTGTACTGAAAGTTTCAAACTACCTGGTTTTGTGCCGCTTCTGGGGTAACATTTTGAGTACTTGAACCTCATCAGGGGGCAAGGCAAAGAGTCAGCAGTTCTGCTTCACAATGCCATGCCACTCCCCAGTGTCAGAGTTCTGCGGTGAAGTGCCATCTTGCCATGGCAGTGATTTTGGAAATTACCTGATTTTCAGAACAAACCTGATATTCCTGAACACTGGCAGGAGCTTCTGCTTGCATTTGCTGCGGCGCACTATGAGAACCAACATTTTTCGTAGGGTAAGTTAGTGTTATCTTTGTGTCTGCAGACAGAGCTAGACTTCCTCAAAAACATGCTGCTGCATTTCCATCGCTTTCTCAATTGAAGGCAGTTTTAGTATTTCTGACAGAAGTTTGGTCATAAGCAAATTAACAGCATTTCCTTGTGTCTACATGCAGTGTCATGCTTATGGGAACAATCTGGCATTCCAGATGCTGTTTGGGAATACCGACATGCAGGATTCCCTGGAAGATCCTCATCTCAGTCCTGGGGCTCTTTTAAATTCTTGCTATTCAATAGTTATAACCTTATAACCATTTCCTGTTATTAATATATTTATACTTGCCTGAACAGGGAGTGCAGAAATCTGTTTCCACTATTTATATTTTTCTACACTAGAGACAGGCAGGATTGACAAATTCAAGAAAGAAGTCAAAGGACACTGGCAGTGTCCTTGCCCTGACTGTGCCTTGTGAGGGGCAAGTTTCTGTCATGAAGGAAACCCCAGTGCACTCCAGGGCATCACAATCAAGTGTGTGTTAAGATCCTGGTTTTCTGCTGGAGTTTCTGCACTGTAATAAATCACAGTCCTTCCTCAGGACAGCTGAAGCTGATGAAAAGCACTTGCTGTACAAAAAAAAAATTGCTTCTTTGTGTGACCTGAGGAGAACTCAAATCTCAAGCAATTTTTATTTCAATATAAAGCTCATATTCAGGCATTAGCTGTCATGTTCGACCAAGGGATTCACCTGCACTGCCCTGCACTGCCTTCCATGCCTGTCGCTGACCCCAGTGCCCACTGCTGTGTCACAGGCTCCTCTCTGCCCCTTTTACTGCCAAGCTCACCGACATGGGGGGCTCAATGAGGTGGCTTTTGAATGAGGCTTTTTGCCCTGCAAGCAGTGTGGGTTCTGCTCACAGCAGCACTCCTGTATTCTGTCTGC